AGTAACAAGGAAGCATATTTTATAATATAAGAACAAGATTTATAGTAGGACATCTTTTAACTATTATTAACTTCCTTCTACGTAGCATTGAAAAGAAGTTAATGGTTTTAGCTGGCAGTCTGTTAGTCTGTATGCCGAAACGATAACTTCCGTTCCACTGGACCGATTGACTTTAAATTTGGTATGTGGATACCTTGAGGTAGTAGCTCGGTCGAGTTTGAATTTGGGTCCTGTAGGTCACAGGGCACCAGAGATATGGAATTCACGCAGAAGGAAGTTGTTTTTCTTGAATTTACATTCAACTCGTTTATTCTGTGGTAGAACAGAAACTACTTCATGTAACCAAGGTCATACAAGTATAATAAATCATTCATCCACAACCAAGATGACTCATCATGACTTGCATATTTCATTTTATGTTACACAATATTTTCCTGCAAACGTACGTGCTTGGGGAGCTCTCACAGAACACCAGCGTGAAACAATAGAATAATGTTGTGTTTCGTATGGTAAGTGTAGAGAATCGGAGACCCTTTTTACGCGTGGATCTTGTTAGTTCGGAGAGGAATTTTTCCGGGCTGCGAAAGGTTCGCGCATCGTTGGCAGAAGAGGCAAGGTCCAAGTGTTTACAGGAAAGAATACCAGGTGGTGTAGGCGTAACAGTGTCGTCCGCCCCAGGAGGGAAAGGAATACAACTTCAAACGGGACAAGAAATAGATTTTTATTATAGGATTTTTCAATATAGATTAATAGAATATAAATCATTGATGGTTTTACTGGTTCGGAATAAACGTTTGTCCTGGGATGAAGCAACAAGAAACCGCGGGCCTTTTTTTTATAAATATTAATTTATAATATAATATCCCGATCACGATCACCTTATTCTCAGGGGTTATTATTAATCATGTACTTATTAAAAGTATATACTTACCATTTTTTTGGAGATAGATTGGGTTTAACAGATTATACATAAAAGTCTATACTAACATCGTGTTTTCAATAAATTACAAATGAAAGGTTTAATGACAGTAGGAATGAGTAACAATTAGTTTTAACCGACTTCAAAAAAGGAGGAGTAGAATATGCCAAGAACACAAAGTGATCTTCACAGAAGTATAATTTAGATTTTGAATTTTTTGATTTGTAGACAATGCCTTCGGGTCTCTTCTTGCCAGTTTTAACTAAGTATTTCTCACATTTAAATCAGTTGGCACTTGAGTCCATAACTGCCCTGGCGTTCTTATGCTCGTATTTTGCATTCAGGCACAACACAATAGTGATATAGATGATAACTCATTATTAAACATCCAAAAGTATCTTATTTCTTTGCAAAATCGGCAAAATTGGGCGCAGCATGGTGGCTAGCGTTTTCTACCGACTTCAAAAAGGAGACGGTAATCAATTCGACTGTATGTTTTCTTATGTGTGTTACCTCAGAACTTTTTTCTCCGTGAACCGATTTTGAAGATTATTTTTTTATTTGACAGCTGGTACTTCTCATGTGGTCTCCTATAAATTTGATCAAGATCTGACCAGTAGTTTTTGAGTTATCCTTAATAATGCGTATTTAACTGACTTCGACTACATTGATGATGTTCTCATTTTATATTGAAGTCGGCTGTACAAAATTTTTAACTTTACGGCTTGTTTACCACACTCCTGGCTGTAAAAACTATTCAATTTTTATCATTTTATTCTGGACTGTTTGTAAATAGACATTAATGATAATGGTGCCTGCTGTTAAAGATTGGTTGTACGAGTATAAGCTTGTAATACTTGCTTGATTGTTTTAGTACTCGTAGCATCACAGAGCGTATGCCACAACAGGTGTACAACCCGTGCGATCCTTGCTGCTCCCAATGATAACAATTGTATATGCTCATTTACCACGTAAAGGAAAATATCGTGATGATGAAGAAAGCTGTATTCTTGAGAAACTGTAATCATTTCGAGGTATGTGAAGTTCACCAACACGCGTTGGGAGGACCGTGGCGGAATCCTCTCTATCTTACAATTAAGAGAACGCTTGGGAAATCTGTTTGATTCTTGACATTTTTTTATTATTTATATACAATTTAACAGAATCAGTCTCATATAAAGACATGGATCGTATTGATAATAAAACTGATTTTCTGTGTAATTAAAATTGTGTTTTTTTCGTATTTGCAAAAGTATTAATCGAATCTTTTAATCCGACTGGTCACGATTACTTAACCGCTTCTGATATTTTAAACAAGTAACGTAACCATACCATATCATGTAGTTTAATATATTATGATAAACAACAAAAAACTGTAATGTTTAATGTATATGGCACAGTCTAAAAGCCGAATCCGTACTTCGGTTATTCAACTAGGTTTAGCCGGCTACAACTAGGTGCAGCCGATTCCCCCCCGAACGAGTTTCTGCCTTGTCGCGGCGCGGGCGGGGGGGGGGGGGGGGGGGCTTAGTAGCCGTGGCTTGGTCAGCCGCGGTGAACAAAGAGGAACCTCTTGGCTGGCCCGTGGTGTAGGACCGGCCCGAGGTGGCCACTCCGAGTCGACTTGGCGAGCCAACTAAAACACCATGGGGTTGTAGTCGGTGCAAGCTCGACATTACCCGTCCTGGCCCCCGCAAGGCGGGTATGCGTAGGCATTTCCCCGTGTAAAATAAAAATGCAGCTGATTACGGCTGGTCAAATTTAGGTGTATTCGAATTATTCACGGCTAAAACTAGGTGTGGCTGGTTGCTTACGGGTAAAACTAGTTATAGTATTTTTTTATAGAATAACAGTGACAAACGAGCACACAATCCACCTGATGGTAAGTGGATGTGAATTCCGAGTAATAATTAAAATGACTATGACTTCTATTAACTTTATAAAAAATAGCACCTGGTTTTAGCCGGCTATACCTAGGTTTAACTTGCACTTCGGCTTTTAGCCCTAACATAATATACACAATTTAGAAATATCATGCCCGTAATAGGTGTGTATGTCTATTTTTTATGGAATAAAGATTACAAACGTGCACACAGTCCACATAATAGTAAGTGGATGCTGTGGCCCATATATTCTGTGAGAGCGTGGTCCTTCCCCAGTCAAGTCGACCCATTTGTGCTACAGCTACAGTATATAACTGCAGCATCGCTACTGCTATAAAGTGTAATATTTACGCATAATAGAAACAACGCAACGTAGAGGCAGGTGACATTATTTCAACATGTTATTTTAGGTTGCGTGATTTGATAACGATTTAGTTTTATTGTCTTATAATGCAGATTAACTTACGCAAAATAACAACATGACGGCGCGCAACACAGCGATGTGGAGAAAGGAGAGGAGCCTAGTTGTTTGTGCTGACCACTTGATCGCCGTAAACTTGTACAGTAGGTAGGTATATTCGGTACAAAACATTTTTGATGCACGAACTATGTAATACGACGTCACCGTAATTGTTTTGGCGGAAAGTTTTTAAAGTATCAAATTATATAACAAGTGATACATTTTTTCAAAGTTTACCTTCGCGATTATTTAATCGATGTAATATGGCATTAATATTATCAATGAAAATTACATTGAAGGTCTTATCTAAGTAGAATTTTTCACCTGCCACACATTTGTAAATAACTAAAAAATTTAAAAAAAAATCTTGAATTTTTATAAAAGCTGTTACGTGTTGGAGCCACTGCATAGTATTTTGGCTGCAGCGCGATTTGGTCGGCTCGACCGGAGTAGTATACTCTACTCACAGATAAGATTAGCGTGAAATAGTAGAATAACGCTGATGTATTTCGTACGCTGAGTGACAGGAACCGACGACTTATTTTACTTATGACCTATTTTATTGGTCATTTTATGGCATTCCATCTAACAGGCACAACATCCACTCTCTGGTGGACTGTATGCTCGTTTTTCACTCTTACTTTAATTTAAAAAAAAAACAGAAAGTTAAATGGAATAGTCCACAGCGTGATTAGGTACATACTGTACTTAATACATTTCTTCCTCCCTTAAATTTAATTTATATTTCATTAGTAGCGATGCGTCCCGACTTCGCAAGGATGATTTCTATATATATATATATATAGAAATCATCCTTGTATATATATATATATATATAGAAATCATCCTTGCGAAGTCGGGACGCATCGCTACTAATGAAATACTCGTATAAATTAAATGTAAGGGAGGAAGAAATGTATTAAATACATTATATATATATATAGAATCTAGATAACTAGGCTACCGGGTCTAATAATGAATTTATACCATCCAGGGATCAACCCAAGCACATACCCAAATTTCATCAAAATCGGTTGACCCTTTTTCAAGTTTTTGCGAGAGCACGCCAATGAGGGGCTAATAATATTCCGATCACCAGATGTCGCTAGTTGACACTGAGGTAAAGTTTTTTGTTACACAATATCATTTAATTCAGTAGTTAGTTTTTAAAAAACTTTATCAGTTTCTAGAGGATTATATTAATACACAAAACAATGCCTCAGCAGTTTGCTCTTTAATTTATTCAACCTTTTTAATATTTTTAATTTTTCTACTTTTATGAATATCTGTGGTTTGGTTTATTTATTTTTAATCTTGATAATATAAAATATAACTAAAAGTACAGAAAGAAACATTAAATTTGACAATATTCGAACAAATTAATTCCCCGCTATGAAATCTGTCAAATGAGGTATATGGTATAAAACCTCACTTTTAAGGGGCGCCGCCCTAGTGGCAGAAGAAGTTGATTTTTATATAATATAGATAAATATGCAGTTGCTTTATTTCAAAAATGTATATTTTTAAATGAATCAGTCATCACGAAGAGTCAATCAATCATAGCAATTAACCTCACATCAAACGTTGATGTTATCGTTTAATGGAGTATTTAACGACAGCCGCTTAAGTACACCCCTAGTTTTAAAAGGTTAACACACCACTAGTCGAGTGAATTCTGAACAATATTTACGCATAAAGAAACACATTACCTACATATAGGTAATTGGTAGAGTCGAAAATGTATTCAAATTCGCAACACTCTCCATTCACATTAACCTACCAGCGTCGTTATAGAAGGAAAGGAAAACCGAATGAACTTGATATTATAAAAGAGAGCGCCAAGACAGTAGGTAAAGATTATTGCACTGAGGCATCAATTAGCGGGCTGAAGCATCTGGTTGACGACAACACCTCATGCCTGGAACGGTACGTGTTGATTGTACCTTCTCATTACCTATTAATAAAGTATAGGTCTTTGGAGTTCGCCGTAATTTAATTTTAGTTCAATATCGTCTTAGTCCAGTTTGTCTTGCATGTTTGCGTTACATCATGGAGCACCAATCGCGTTATGCAATGTAAATTATATGGTATTGCGACAGCGAAATTTAGCTATATCCATGTTTGTATTGCAATTTATTGGTTCTGATTCATAAAAAGCTTAAAATGAGTATATAAATTTATAATACGTAATGATTAAGAATACACCGCTAAAAAACTTTGCAGGTCCAAATTGGGTCTCATATAATTCTCAATTTAATTTAGTATGCAACAACTGCATTTGTCACACACATCATTCTTAATTTAATGTTTTTTTATATGTTTTTGTTAATTGATTAAACGTATAACTTTACCTTCATAGGCTGTTAATTGAAATGTTAGAATAAGTACCAATTATGACGAGGAATGCATTGCGCTTGCTAACAAATTGCTTGGCAAGCATATTGTCATAAAATAAAGAATGTCACTATATCTGATTTTCAATTTTATGTTTTTTATTATTTTTTTTAAAGTCAAAAATCTGCCACATCTTTAAAGTAATCACTAGAAACGTTGTGCATACTATTTAGTGTAATACAATAAGTATCACTACTTAGTAATAAATCACTACGTTTAGTGTTATTAAAAAGGATGAATAGTTATAAAGCCTCTATGATATATCTAAAACCGTAAGGTTTAAGTGAAATAATAAGTAATTTTTTTATAATTTCAAATGGTAATCTTAACCGATTGCGATTTACCCAGCTGATAAGGCTCTGGCGATCCAGTAATGAAACCAGTGCGAGAAGATCAGTAGCGTACCTCACTCATCCTCCAGGCCTAGGGCTGCAACTGAAATCCCGGATTGACCCGGTTGAAAGGGAGATTTTATTTCAAATAATAACAGTGGTAATAACAGTGGTAGAGCTAAGCGGTAGCTTTTGTTTTTTTTTATAGGATAAGGGTGACAAACGAGCACACAGTCCACCTGATGGTAAGTGGTTGCTGCAGCCCATAGACATCTACATTTATCCTCTATTACAAATCAAAATGTAGATGCGTTGTCACCCGTGAGGACTAACATGGAATGCCTCATTTCCAGTAAAAAGGGCCTCCGGCCACCTGCACTCACCAAGCGAAACGCAGAGGCAAACCTGGAGAGTGCAGGTGGCCGGAGGCCCAATTCCCCCCTCCCCCCCATAAACATGGTAGTGGAATTAAATTAAAGACTACCCCAGGAGGGTACCAGCACCCCTGGAGAATCCCTCGCTGAGCATCCACGACCAAACTACTTCACTCCTGAGCGTGGGTGCTCAGGCTGCCCCGCGTATTATGGGGCGGGGGGGGGGGTGCAAAATTCCGCTCGCGTGTAATGCTGCTCGGGGCAAGCGGAGCGGTTAAAGGCGACCCCTGTCACGCTATCCGTGAATTTTTGCAACATCCGGGGACTTCATTCCAACCTTAACGCTGTCCATTACCATCTAGAGACGGCGAAGCCGTCCTTGCTCTTTTTAACCGAGACTCAGGTGTCCTCTCCGGCTGATACTTCATATCTCTCCTACCCGGGGTACAAATTGGAACACTCCTTTGTGCCCCGGGCTGGAGTTTGCGTATACGTCAGAGAGGACATCTGTTTTCGACGCCTCGGCAGTCTTGAAGGTACGGACCTGTCCATCTTATGGCTGCGCGTAGACAGCGACCACCATTCCCGCGTCTACGGGTGCCTCTATAGGTCCCATAGCGGTAATGCCGACACAGACCGACTCATCGACCACGTCCAAATGGCTGCAGACTCCGTGCTACAACAGGTCCCATCCGCAGAGATCGTGATACTCGGTGATTTTAACGCTCACCACACTGAATGGTTTGGTTCTCGTTTAACCGATCTTGCGGGTAGATCTGTCTATGACTTTGCTTTGGCATATGGTCTAACACAACTCGTTACTTCGCCTTCGCGGATCCCAGATGTGGAAGACCATGTACCTTCCCTGTTGGACCTTCTGCTGACCTCTCATCCGGACGGATATCAGGTCTCCGTCGATGCCCCTCTGGGCTCTTCGGACCATTGCCTGATCCGGAGTACGGTGCCACTCACGCTCCAATTGCAGTTGCGATCTGCAGCTTGCCGCCGTGTTTGGCACTATAGGTCAGCTGATTGGGACGGGATGCGGTCTTTTTTTGCATCGTACCCTTGGGGGTGGGTTTGCTTCTCGCCGGAAGATCCCAACGTTGTTGCCGATTCTGTCGCTGATGTGGTACTTCGGGGTATGGAACTTTTTATTCCATCCTCTGTGGTGCCCATCGGAGGCAGATCCCAGCCATGGTTTGGTCGCTCCTGTAAAATAGCATCACGCTATAAGCAGGAGTGCTACCGGGCCTGGGTTGACGCATCAATGTCTCGGGATGTAAACACCAGCGCACTTAAAAAGAAGTATAATTCCGCCTCCAGGTCCTTCAAAAGCGTCATTGCCAAGGCAAGGTCTGAGCACATCGGCAGAATTGGCGAGAAACTAGTTCGCCTTCCTTCGGGACCCCGTGCATTCTGGTCTCTCGCCAAGGCTGTCCAAGGGAACTTCTGTCAGCCATCTCTTCCATCTCTGCACAGGGAGGACGACTCACTGGCCCATGCCGCAAAGGAGAAAGCCGATCTGTTGAGCTCTCTTTTTGCGTCCAACTCGACTCTGGATGACGGGGGGAACACACCGCCGACCATCTCGCGACGTGAGTGTTCCATGCCGGATATGCGGTTTACACAGCGCTCGGTTCGCAAAGCACTCTTCTCCTTGGACGTCAGCAAGTCGAGTGAGCCCGATGGAGTCCCTCCCATTGTGCTGAAGACGTGTGCTCCGGAGTTGACACCGGTTTTAACGCGTCTTTTCCGATACTCCTACTCCCAAGGCGTAGTCCCGAATTCATGGAAGACAGCTTTGGTCCACCCGATCCCTAAAAAAGGCGACCGCTCAGACCCGTCCAACTACAGGCCTATTGCCATCACCTCCTTGTTCTCCAAAATAATGGAATCCATTATAAACTGCCAGCTCATGAGGTACCTTGAGGATCACCAGCTGATTAGTGACCGCCAGTACAGTTTTCGTCGAGGTCGATCAGCTGGTGATCTTCTAGTCTATCTGACTCATAGATGGGCGGAGGCAGTAGAGTCCAAGGGGGAGGCATTGGCCGTTAGTTTGGACATAGCGAAGGCTTTCGATCGGGTCTGGCACAAAGCGCTTCTTTCGAAGCTTCCTTCATATGGGCTTCCCGAGAAATTGTGCAAATGGATCACCAGTTTCCTTGCTGATCGGAGCATCAAGGTCGTAGTAGACGGTGCATGCTCTGATTTCAAGCCTATCAACGCTGGTGTTCCACAAGGCTGCGTGCTATCACCAACGCTGTTTCTCTTGCATATCAATGATATGTTGCTAACTAGTAGCATTCATTGCTATGCAGACGACAGCACTGGTGATGCCTTATATACCGGCCGTGCCAATATTTCTCGGGAAAACGTCGCTGAGTACCGGGACAAACTTGTGTCTGAAGTCGAGTCTTTGCTTAACAAAGTCTCGGATTGGGGCCGACTAAATCTAGTCCAGTTTAATCCCCAGAAGACACAAGTTTGCGCGTTTACCGCTAAAAAGACCCCTTTGTCGTATCTCCTCAGTTTCAAGGCACTTCCCTTGCTGCCTCGACTAGTATCGGAATCCTTGGCGTCGACATATCGAATAGTGTGCAGTTTCGTGGTCACTTGGAAGGGAAGGCCAAATTGGCCTCTAAAAAGCTTGGCGTGCTCAGCAGAGCGAGACGGTATTTCATGCCGGCCCATCGCTTGCAACTTTACCAAGCGCAAGTTCGGCCCCACATGGAATACTGTTCTCATCTCTCGGCCGGGGCACCCCAGTGCCAGCTCCTTCCACTTGACCGCATCCAGCGCAGAGCGGTTCGATTCGTCGACGACCGAGTTCTTTCTGATCGGCTCGATACACTGGCACTGCGTAGAGATGTTGCATCTCTTTGCGTATTTTATCGCATCTATCACGGGAAGTGCTCTGAGGAATTGTTCGGACTAATTCCAGCCGCTCAATCTCACCATCGCACATCGCAACAAAACTCGCGTTACCATCCATACCATCTGGATGATTGGCGGTCCACCACTGTGCGATTTAGAAGAAGTTTTCTCCCTCGCACAACTTCCTTGTGGAATCAATTACCACCAGCGAATTTTCCGGACCGATACGACTTAGGAACCTTCAAGAAAAGAGCTTACACCTTTCTAAAAGGCCGGCAACGCATCTGCAATTCCCCTGGTGTTGCGGTTGTTCATGGGTGGCGGTATTCACTTACCATCAGGTGAGCCGCATGCTCGTTTGCCCCTTCTTCTATAAAAAAAAAAACTTAAAAATTGTTACAAAAAATTAAAACATAGTTTCCACAATTCATTTTGATTAATTTTATTCGTTTATTGTTTATAGGTTGTTTGCTCATAAGTGGGATTTTGCCATAGTAGCCACGCCAACACGCGGGTTGCCAGCCGTAGTTTTTATTATTTTCAGTGTTTATCAGGTAGATGCCGCCCACACCTTTTCAGTTCCCGTCTGTCGTGCGTTTTACGACATCCGCAATGTGATTGTGCAGAAACAGAAACAGAAACTTTTTTTATTCAATATAGATTATAAATAATACTTATTGAAAGTCACTCTTTTGTATAATTACCACTGGTTCGAAAAAAACCTCTGTCCTGGGAAGAACCAGCAAGAAACCCAGCGGGACTTTTTTTTTAAATAACAGCTTACAATCATGTATGTTACACAAATTAACAACAACAAATTAGAAATAGCTTGGTAGCGATCACCTCATTTCCAGGGGTTATTATCATCTATAAATTCTTTAATATTATAATAACCCGTTTTATACAAACTTAGTTTAATAAAGTTTTTGAACTTGGAGCAGGTCAAAAGGTGCAGTATATTCTCTTACGCCATCAGTATATACTTCTAAAAGTAAGAATACGAATACTGAATACGTCTAACTGTTAAGATCTCTTTTCTTTCCGAGTAGGTTTTAAATTTATAAACTGTACGAAACTTCAATAAGTTATAATATATGTTATATATATATATAGATGTTTTACGTTAATTTTTTAAGCCTGTAACTTGACGTAACTGCAAAGACTATTCATACATATTAAAATAATGATAACATTGTTTTAATGAAACATTAAGCCTAATAGTTATTTTTTTTAGCCATTATAGTAAATAACATATTATGACTTATTTATCCAACAGGGTACTATGGATCATAATAATGATAAGCGCCCTCATATGTTCAGTATCTCTCGTGTTGATAACGTTCAGAAAGTACTACAGGGCGCCTCTGGTGACCACACAAATGCCGGAGGGTATTTCTGTAAGCGAGATAATATTTCCAGCTGTAGGAATCTGCACTAACAATCGGATCAGTAAACGAGCTACTATTGAGTTAGCACGAAAGTTGTAAGTCTAATTACATGATACACATATCTTTTCAAATATGTATTTCGATAACTAATTGCAACAGCCTGTATATAACACATCACTAAAGCTGAATGTCCGCAAAACATTTACGGTGGGCGCACATGTATGAAAAACTGGCTCAGCTTTGCGAGCTAAGATAAACTAAGTTAGTTTGCGGTGGACGTTCGCTTAAAACTCACCTCTAACATCGTGGGGATTCGCTTTGTGTTAACACCTTTTTTTTGTACTACTATCACCTGTTGCTTCCACCAGCTATACATTATGTATATCACTAATACGAACTAAAATATTCTATGAAGAAACTACTGAAAGTATTTATTTCATTTTTATCTGCGTTCACAATTGTGGCAGCGTCACCACCCATCCTCTGGACTATTTACATAATACTTATTGAAACTTTTTTTTAATTTACGTTTTGTTTAATTTACCACTTTTTTCATTTAGGTGCCACTTCTTTTTTTTTCAAAAATCAAACTACATATGTCATACATATTCTTTAACAGAGTGGTACATTATGTAGTTTATACGTTCAAAAGTCCACTAATGAACATAGATCTCCCCCACAGATAGCTTTAAAGAGGAATATTTGGCATAGTTGCTACGCTTGACAAACGGGTTGCGTACTGCAGTCTTTTAATATTTTGGTCAGTAAAGTAGCGTACCTTAGAGAGGCCCTGTATCAAAATTTGTTGGGGGGCCCAAATGAAGAGTAAAGGTTTTTCACAAAAGGAACAAAAACTCACGCGTTGAATTAAAATAATTATATATTGATTATAAGTTATTACTTACAATGAATACTCCTAGGAACTAAGCTAGCCAAACAATTCAAACCTACATTCTGTCCCATAGAAGTCCTTAGAATGTTTGCTTACACACGTTCGGGGTCTCTGTAGCCCGGGGGCCCCGTATCATTGATACGACTGATACGGCGGTAGCTACGCCCCTGATTTTGGTCATCAGGAAGTTATAAGTTTTCCTTAGTCCCCTCTTATAACACCCATGGGTTGGATGATATGGGGTAGTGGTAGTGGACCTAATTTACATGAAAACAATTTATTACCTAATGCCATATGTGTAATAAATACTAATATTTATTACACATATGCTAATGTTGAGGAGAGAGTACCTGATTATGACGTCACGGGTACTAAAACCGAATTTGAACTAAAGTCAAAATTTGAGCAAGAATACAAATTATTGGTTTTTGAGTCTGAATGTGTTGTAACTGTTCCTGTGTCTGACGCCGCATCTAAACCCTCCTACCTTAATTGATACCTAGTCCAGTCAAATAAGGTCTGAAATCAAAATTTTGACACTCAACTTTGCATATTTGATATAAGTAGTTTAATGATACAAAACCTATGTGTGAAGGTTTTCGTGTCCTCAACCCTTGCCGGTTAAAAAAATTGACAATTTTTTTCGCAATTACTTGAAAACGGTAAAAATTTGACAATAAAGTTTTTTTTTAAAAAATGCGTAAAGCTTAAAATTTTGCATAAAAAAAGTTTTTATGATTTTTTTTCCTCCGGTCAAATTTAACCGAGTTAGGGAGGTTTTAAGTTTAAGGGATGAACGTAAATTTAAAAAAAATTGTAGGGTGTAGAAAAATAAGCGCTTTTCTTAAATTGCTTATAAAACCTGACCTAAGGTTAGTTTTTGAATTTTTTTTTCCTAGTATATTTCGGCAGGTGAGAATTTATACAAGTATATAATCTTTTTCAAATCCTACGCCGTTGTATTTAGTTCCGAGTTAAAAAGAGAGGACTATTGCTTACTCGTATACTACTATAAAAGTAAGCGTACGTAGCATTCGAGTAAGAGTAAGAAGGCATCATCGGATAATCATTATTCTTGCACTCTCTCTATTTTACGATCTGTTCACTAAAATAGATCAGATTATTTTTGCCTGCTTGGCGATTAAATCCGAAACCACGAATTTTTTTTAATACATTTTTTAACGTTATTCTTATTATTTCTTGAAAATAAGTTAAAGATTTTTTTATCCGTCCCGACGATAGTAAATATATTATATCGATTCCAAATTTCATAATTCGTAAAAAATAACGTGACATTTAATTTTTTTTTTATAAATATTAGGCTTACAAATTATTAAAAAAATCATCCCGACATGTCAAGTTAGTTTTGTGAATTTCGCAACTTGGATTAGACCTGATATACAATTGATACAATTCTTCAGTTTTCTTGAGTTAAATAAATTGAAAATCCTGATTTAATTAAAATTTTCCAGGTATGTTATAGAAAAATTTTCCTTGTATTATTTAAAAATAATCGATTTTTGTGAAATGTCAGTAATTTTATTATTTAATTAAAACACCTAATAAAAATTAATTATTAGGTGTTTTGCGGTTGCAAAACTAACTGCACATCAGCTAGATGGAGCTGTAAGAAAAGCGGTTTGAAATGTAACCAATTTTGCAAAAGTTGCCATATCCAAAGTTGCGAAAACGCATCAACAACACAAATAGTTTTAGAATTTGATAATCCATTAAATTATAATGATGATAATGAAAGGCAATATTATCGTGAAGTCGGTGACGAAGAAGAAGAAATAAGGACTGGAAATAATACATTTCCTGAACTAGATGAATCAACCGAGGGATTCCTTGGATCATTTATTGAAAAAGAAATGGAATTTAATCTGTATTAAAAATAATGAAAATGCTCATGTTTCTTACATTGTAAATGTCGAGCATATATTTTGCATATATTTTACTTTTGGTTATTAATGATTTAACTTTTTTACCATTTCTTTTATGCCAATTATATTATTAGCAAGCACATTCTAGAAGCGGAAAATTCTGCTAGTCTACTATTGAAGTTCCTGTAATTGTTAAGCTTTGAAATTAATATATATTTATTTATTTACTTTTATATTTGAATAAATTAAATAATAAAATTACTAACATTTCACAAAAATCGATTATTTTTAAATAATACAAGGCAAATTTTACTATAACACACCTTGAAAATTGAAATTAAATCAGGATTTGCAGGTGGCCGGAGGCCCTTTTTACTGGCAATTAGGCATTCCATCTTAGTCCTCTCGGGTGACAACGCATCTACATTTTGATTTGTAATAGAGGATAAATGTCGATGTCTATGGGCCGCAGCAACCACTTACCATCAGGTGGACTGTGTGCTCATTTATCACCCTTATCCTATAAGAATAAAAAATTCGAATTTATTTAATTCAAGAAAACAGAAGAATTGTATCAATTGTCAGGGTCGATTCCAAGTTGCGAAATTAAAACTTACTTGACATGTTGGGATGGTTTTCTTTTTATAATTTGTAAGCCAAATGTTTATAAGAATAATTTAAAATTAAAAATTTTGTACAGCTGACTTCAATATAAGTTATTAAGAATAACTCAAAAACTATTATATACCACACGAGAAGTATCAGCTTTCATATAAAAAAAAGAATCATCGAAATTGGATCACCCAGTAAAAAGTTATGAGGTAACACACATAAAAAAAACATACGCGTCGAATTGAGTACCGTCTCCTTTTTGGAAGTCGGCAGAAAAATGATAAATTTAAAAATCAGTCAAAAAAATTTGGAATCGATGTAATATATTTACTATCATCGGGACAGTTAAAAAAAATCTTCAACTTATTCTTAAGCAATAATAATGTAAGATCATTTATTTAAAAAAAATTACTTCCTGGTTTCGGACTTAATCACCAAGTAGGCAAAAATAACCGATCGTAAAATAGAGAGAGTGTGAGAATAAAGATTCTCGCCTTGAAAAATTAAAAGTTTTAATATTAAAGTCCAACATACTAACAAAGGACCAAAGGAATTTACCCGGCCGATTCTAACCTTTAAGATTGACTTAAATCGAGCTCATACACATTTTAATAACTTTACTTATGTAGCACGCGGCATTTACTCTTTCATCCGACTCGGGGCTTGCGGCCTTCAAAGAGATCTATGTGAGGACTAAGCAACTGTAAAAGCCAACTAATAGCATTGATCACAGAAAATAAATGACACCCAGAATGGATAGTGTCTAAGCAATTATATAATTTCCAACTGAAGTCTTTTCCTCTCAAAATTTAAGTAGACATTTCCTTCGTCTTTATTAGCCAGTAAAAGTCCATTGCCGAACATGGACCTTTTCCGTTGTAGGCACGCTTGGTAAGCGGATTCGAAGGTCTGGGTCTTTTGTACGCTGGCGTAAGCGGGATGGACTAGCTATCAAAAGCCATAAGATTTTCAAGCATTTCCTATACCTACTGATTTTAATATCCAAAGAGTCAGTAATTCCTTCATGGGACAATATGTAGATACGCTTTTCCAGCAAAATCTCAAAAAATATGCAGACCTTATCTATCAAAAGGTTTAAAATATTTATTAAGCAAAAATTGTTTAGTAAGGGTTATTATACTACTAAAAAAATTAATATTGAATAAAAATGATTCCATTCTATTCTATTAATTGGTAATTTGAGAAAACTGTTCAAGTAAGTTTAAAAAGTCTGTTTCGCATGTTTGCGACATAACTAGCTAAAAAAGCATTAGAACCCACGATTCTTTTTAAAATTTCACACACTTTATTGCGATATATGACTATTAACTATGTACTTGCTAATTAAGTAACGTTTAAATTTCCGACTAGACTTAAAGAAGAACGTAACAAAATGTACGACGAAGAGGAAATGCTATCGCTCCTAGTTGGCCTAGGTTTGTTTTACAACATTGATCCGATGGATGACGAAGTGGTCAAACCGATGCAACTGCACCGCGCACTAGGCGAATACAATGTCAATGAACTTATACAAAGCGTAAGTATAGTGAGGTTGTTGTTTGTAAAGATCTCCGCTTACTATTGGACTTATTGGTAGTGAGTGGGTCTATTGCATAATCGCCACTGGCGCTATTTCCACACGCTGTATTCTCGTGGTCATATTGTAGTTATCTATTTTAACATCAAGATGAATAAAAGCGTTTTAAAAGTTGATCGACCTTCGCACAGGCAGACAATTGCAATTGTCCAGGTGAAACAATTTACACGTAGGTATGTAGCTTATTTGATAAGGTTAGTTTTAGTTGACATTGGCTTACTTTATGTTTTTTTTTACATTTTAGTAAACTTATGCGTTATGCTTGCATACCAACGAACGCAACGCAAAGTGCGTTACTGTGATGTTATTTTTAATAAAACAATAAACTTTATATTTAATTTAGTCACTTACTTTAACAAAATAAAACTATAATTTTAATAATGATTTCTTATATTTACGCGAACAGTACACATCGAATAAAACTACTTTTACGGATTTTATCGTCTGTCACCAGTCTCCCGTGACCATGGTTGCTGGAAAGCATCCGAAAAGCACCCGAAACGTCGAGAATTAAAAAATAAGTATAATTAAACGCTATATAATAAGTAAAAGTAGTGTTATTCAATATAATTTCAAATTAATTTTATATAATGACTTATGAATTCTACCCTATTTTTTCAGTGACAAAAATTCAATTTTGTAATTATTTAACTAAACTTACCTTACTTCAGTTTAGAAACTAACACCTGATTGTAAGTGGTTCCTGCACTGCAGTCCATGGACACCTGCAGTCAACTTCAAAAAAGAAAACTTTTTTTATATGACAGGGGCATTCCCCATTGGGGTATGAAGGGGCAAACGAGGATACGGCTCACCTGATGGTAAGTGACTACCGCCGCCCATGAACAACTGCAACACCAGTGGAATTGGAGAAGCGTTGCCGGCCTTTTAAAAAAGGGTGGGCTCTTTTCTTGAAAATCCCTAAGTCATATCGGTCCGGATAAATTGCTGGTGGTATTCGATTCCACAAGGAAGTTGCCCGAGGAAGAAAATCTCTTGTAAATCGCACAGTAGTGGACCGCCAATCATCTAAATGGTATGGATGGTATCTCGAGTTCTTTCGCAATTTGCGATGGTGAAATTGAGCGGCTAGAATTAGTCCAAGCAATTCCTGTGAGCACTCCCCGTGGTAGAGTGTACTTTTAAATATTTATACTTTTATATATATTAATAAGTATGTATGTATTTATCTTATCTATGTACTTATATACCATTCTGTATTTCTATTTTATGGCTTTAATAAAAATAATGTTATTTTTGTCGCCAAACCACACACGTTTTTATAGTTTTCTTGCAATCCTGTCCATCCAACGGTTGTCTGGAAGACATCGCTCTTAGCGACAAGACCACCCATTGTACCACATTTCTTTTTCTCATTTTTTGTTAATATTTATGTTATTTTTTGGCGTACAATAAAGTGTTATCATCTATATATCTAGATACGATAGAATACGCAAAGAGATGCAACATCCCTACGCAACGCCAGTGAGTCAAGTTGATCAGAAAGAGCTCGGTTGTCACTTGAATGTCTTCTACCCTTTAGACTTAAAATCGGTAATGTTTCTATTTAGCAGCAAAATTAGGTAAGAGGGTGGTATCTACCCGCACGGATTCTTAGGCAGATAAAAAACCCTATTACCTAGTTATTATTGTATTGATGTTTTTTAAACCAAAAGACAATTTAAGACCGTTCTGATGTTTTGGTTATTAAGCATGAAAATTACATTTACTTAAGTTTAAGTAACTGTTTTTAGTGTTAGTGATACACCTACTCTTAGTAGGTATCATAGCAATTTTATAACGTAACTTATAAACTTATAGTTCGAAACAAGTTAGATGTTTATAGGCTAATAATCATTACATAAGTCCAAGTGGAATATTTCTCGAATCGTATACATTCACAATCAGAGGCTAACTTTTATGTAACTTGAATTACATACATAATATAATATACTTATAATATATTATGTATGTACCAATATTTGAAACCAGAGACTATAGCACAGCAGGTTATGGTATTTAAGAGAATTCTAATAAGTACCTAATGCCGTGTTGCGGACAAAAGTGGGGCTGAGTATTAGCTAAATTTTAGTTGAGGTATATCAGTGTTTAAATGAATTCAAAATAATTTTCCTTCATTATCTATACATGTGTAAGCTTTAATAAATAAAATAGAAATGACAGAACTCAAATAGATACTAATATTTAACAAGAAATCATGAGTACATGAACAGAGTGAACGCGATAACGGAAGCTTTTACACACTCATACACACACACACAAACACAGGCCAGCATGGGAAGGAGACAATTTTATCCCCGGGGAAAGGAGAAAATGTTTGTCAACCTTCAAGCATGGGCACACCGGTGGATATAATATCCACAGTACATAAAATGGGAGATAGACTTAGATAATTTTTTGTATGAATATAAACTTAAACCCACGTCCTTTCAAATGTCAAAATAGCATAATTTTTTATCTTTCATTAGTCTCCATGTTACGGACGGGGGATATGTCTACTCGTTATGTCAAACGGGAATATACTTCTCCCCGTTGCCGTGCTTTGACATAAGGACAAGATAATTTTATCTCTTGTCAGTGGATATAATCGTGGATAAATTTTTTGTCCCCAGCCCTTGCTAGCCATGCTGTAGGTGACATGTGTAGTACGCTTGTGTGTGTGCGTTGCGAGACGCTATATTTTTATATCCGCGTTATTTTCTCTACTACCAGGTTATTTTCTCTGTCTGTTCTTAAAGTTTCTAAGTAGTGGTGTTATTAAAGTTTCTAAGTAGTAACATTGCTTAGATTATCTACAGTTGACACCGCGTTGTGAAGATCTACTTTTGAGATGTGCGTGGAATGACCAACCAAAGAACTGCTCCGATATTTTCGACTTCCGCCTCACCATGAACGGGTACTGCTGTACATTCAACTACTTAAGAAGAAAGGACGATATGTTTACGGAGTAATTTTTTTTTTCATAAAATTTTTGTTTATTATAGAACCGTAGCCTTAGAGGATAAGCGTTTATTAGAGAATAATTCAGGACCGAGAGTTGACCTGTATTCAGCTGCTGGACATATACATGCTGTTACTCTTACAGCCTAAAAGTAAAATACAAGAACAGAAAAGAAAGGCTAAGCATAGATAAAATTTTGCCCAATATATTATATAACGTGTAATTAAAACCTGTATCATATGTGTATGTGTATGATATAGGATTTTTTATAGAAATAAGTGTAACAAATGAGTTTACGTGGTAGAGCCCTGCTGCAGCTATATTACTGGTATAGTTGTAGCACGAATGGGTCGGTTTAACCGGGGAAGGACCACGCTCTCACAGAATAACAGCATAAAATAGCAGCTTAGCGCTGCTGTGTTTCGTTTAGTGAGTGTAGAGAACCGGACCCTTTTTACTGGAAACGAGGCATTCGATCTTAGTCCTCACGGTTGACAACGCATCTGCATTTTGATTCGTAATCGAGGATAGATGTACATAGATGTTTATGGGCCACAGCAACCACTTACCATCAGGTGGACTGTGTACTCGTTTGTCACCCTTATCCTATAAAAAACAAATATCTATTCTGTATTATAATCTATAATAATCCCCTGGCCAATCTTTACACAACAGTGGCGGGTTGCAGTAGCCATTTATTCAAGAGTACTAAAAGCTCGTTCGTCACAAATCATATTCAAAAATAAACACAGTCCATCTGGCAGAATCTTTGAGTAAGAATTAAAATACAGAACGCGTTGTCAGCCCTGAGGAGAAAGCTGGAATTCCTCCTTACTAATCACTCAATATGATTCAATTTTACGCTCAAATTGGGGTAGAGTCTGTCTACAAAAGTATTACAGCTACAACACGATTTGGTCAGCTAGACCGCAGAAGGTAAACTCACACAGAACGTGAGGGCGTGGTCCTTGTCTTTTGGTCGTGAATTACGTTAGTTTACTAGTAAGATAGAAGATAATTTAGAGCAAGATTAGACATATTTACCACTCGAACGCATTTTGCAGCCCAACAGAATCGACTCGCAGCATAGATATGTATAAATACGGCAACAAATCAAGTTTCGACTTTGACCAGGGTCTCAAAGTTTTATTGCTACTAAATGAGGACGATGATTTTTATTACAATATACCGTTGCAAGGTGCCCAGGTTCGAAGTACTTTATATATTAATAATTTAACGTGAATAAAACAATTATATTATATTTTTATATATTAAAATAAAACATATTAGTTTGTTTAAAATTCTTAGTGTGAATTGCAGTTGAAAAAACATATTATGCTCGTATGTAGATATGTAATATTATACAATTTCTATTTTCAGTTACAATTCTCAGACACATACGACTTTCCCGATGCACCAAGTGGAAGTTTTTCTATGCAAATCGTTAGTCCTAACGTACAGGTACTTTTATATTATATTATGTAGCTATATGTACTTAAAACTGAACTTTAATATTCTCATTCAAACAGTGATGTAGCATGGGTTGCTGACGCTCGGAGCCACTACAGCAAAAAATGGCCCCCAGCCCACGTTTCTTGAAATATATAAAGTTAGTAAGTCCTCTCTATAGTCTATGACAGAGATAACGAACCTTTTTGAGTAGTGGATAAAATTTTTGTTCATTATTTTCTTTAGTACTAGCTCGTGGTCTTCTCCAAACCTCCTCCTCTACAATCCTTTAAAAGCTTTATTTTTCCTATTTTTTATAACTTTGCTTCTAAATACGACGATCCCTAGGAACTTCAGATGTGAGAAAACGTGTTTGAACTGAACCCATTGATGTCAAAAAAATTGATTGGTGTATTTTTTTGCGCGGGCTATAATAAGAAATAAGATATATCTTTGATTTCATTACACATTCGTTTTCTTCTTCTTTGCCAACCTATAAAAGCCACAGCTGGACCCCCATTGTAGGCAGGATTTGCCCGTTTGGCAGACGGATTAATATTTAAAGTTGTGATTGTTCATGGGCGGCGGTAGTCACTTACCATCAGGTGAGCCGCATGCTTGTTTGCCCCTCTCCTATAAAAAAAAAACAAAAAAAGATGGCTTCTTTGAAGCTGCTCCGGGTCGCCTATGGGACGAATGAGGGATGATGATTTCAAGGCACAGCGTGCGATCAAGTGAGTGCCTCTGTTTTTGCGCGTCCAATCGTTCTACCAACTATACTGTTGCGCGCCACAATTAATGCATGGTACATGGCAACACTAGTTACCACTAGCGCCTTCTAGTATCGAGTAGCAGAACTAGAAGCGTCAAGATCCATCTAGAAATTTCCATGGAAAAACTTTCTAGAACTATCGACACTTAGTCAGTCGGGACCGGTATGTACTCGGACATTCTAGATGTTTCTACAGTAGAAGGTTCTGGAAATTATCTGAGGCCCTATATAAGGCCGGTATAGACCGCGATCTGGTCTGTATTGGATTGTAAAATAAATTCACCACTATTTTCGTAAAAAAATTACATCTTTAACGGTGGTAGAGCCTTGCAGCAGCTTTTGCTGTTGCACGTATGGGCCGGCTCGAGCCGGGTTAGTACCACGACCTCACAGAATACCGGCGTGAAGTGGAAGCTCTGCTTCCGCGTTTCGTCTGGTGAGTGCAGGTGACCGGAGGCCCAATTCCCCCCCCCCCCATCAACATGGTAGCGGAATTACGTCATAAACTACCCCAGGAGGGTACCAGTACCCCTGGAGAATCCCTCGCTGAGCATCCACGACCATGATATTCCACTCCTGAGCGTGGGTGCTCAGGCTGCCCCGCGTATTCTGGGGGGGGGGGGGGGGGGGGGCAAAATTCCGCTCAACACAATAACTGCTCGGGGCAAACTGAGCAACAAGACTAAGGCGACCCCTGCCACGCTATCTGTGAATTTCTGCAACATCAGGGGACTTCACTCGAACCTAAACGCCGTCCACTACCATCTTGAGACGGCGAAGCCGGCCTTGCTCTTTCTGACCGAGACGCAGGTGTCCTCTGCGGCTGATACTTCATATCTCTCCTACCCGGGGTACAAATTGGAGCACTCCTTTGTGCCTCGGGCTGGAGTTTGCGTGTATGTCAGAGAGGACATCTGTTCTCGACGCCTCGGCAGTCTTGAAGGTTCGGACCTGTCCATCCTTTGGCTACGCGTGGACAGCGACGACCATCCGCGCGTCTACGCGTGCCTCTATAGGTCCCATAGCGGTAATGCCGAAACAGACCGACTCATCGACCACGTCCAAATGGCTGCAGATTCCTTGCTACAACAGGTCCCATCCGCAGAGATCGTGATCCTTGGCGATTTTAACGCCCACCACGCCGAATGGCTCGGTTCACGTTTAACCGATCATGCGGGGAGATCTGTTTATGACTTTGCCTTGGCATATGGTCTGACACAACTGGTTACATCGCCTACGCGGATTCCAGATGTTGAGGATCATACACCTTCCCTGTTGCACCTTCTGCTGACCTCTCATCCGGACGGATATCAGGTTTCCGTCGATGCCCCTCTTGGCTCTTCGGACCATAGTCTGATACGGAGTGTGGTGCCACTCACGCTCCCCTCGCGGTTGCGTTCTGCAGGTTGCCGCCGTGTTTGGCATTACAGGTCGGCGGATTGGGACGGAATGCGGTCTTTCTTTGCTTCCTACCCATGGGGGCGGGTTTGCTTCTCGCCGGATGATCCCAGCGCTGTTGCTGACTCTGTCACTGATGTGGTGCTACAGGGAATGGAACTATTTATTCCATCATCTGTGGTACCCATCGGAGGCAAATCTCAGCCTTGGTTTGGTCGCTCCTGTAAGACTGCATTACGCAGTAAGCAGGAGTGTTATCAAGCCTGGGCTGCAGCTTCGGTGACTCGGGATGTAAACACCAGCACACTCAAAAAGAAGTATAACTTCGCCTCCAGGTCCTTCAAAAGAGTTATTGCCAAGGCAAAGTCAGAGCACATAGGCAGAATTGGCGAGAAACTAGTTCGCCTTCCTTCGGGAACCCGTGCATTCTGGTCTCTCGCCAAGGCTGTCCAAGGGAATTTCTGTAAGCCATCACTACCATCTCTGCACAGGGAGGACGACTCACTGGCCCACGACGCAAAAGAGAAGGCCGACCTTTTAGGCTCCCTTTTTGCGTCCAACTCGACTGTTGATGACGGGGGGAACACACCGCCGACCATCCCGCGGTGTGAGTGCTCCATGCCGGATGTGCGGTTCTCACAGCGCTCGGTTCGCAGAGCACTCCTCTCCCTTGACATCCACAAGTCGAGTGGGCCTGACGGAATCCCCCAATTGTGCTGAGGACGTGTGCTCCGGAGTTGGCACCGGTTCTAACGCGTCTTTTCCGGTACTCCTAATCCCTAGGCGTAGTCCCGAAATCATGGAAGACAGCTTTTGTCCACCCGATCCCTAAAAAAGGCGACCGCTCAGACCCGTCCAACTACAGGCCTATCGCCATCACCCCCTTGTTCTCCAAAATAATGGAATCCTTTATTAACTGCCAGCTCATTCGGTACCTTGAGGATCACCAGCTGATTAGTGACCGCCAATACGGTTTTCGTCGGGGTCGATCAGCTGGTGATCTTCTGGTCTACCTGACCCATAGATGGGCGGAGGCAGTAGAGTCCAAGGGGGAGGCGTTGGCCGTTAGTCTGGACATTGCGAAGGCCTTCGATCGGGTTTGGCACAAAGCGCTTCTTTCGAAGCTCCCTTCCTATGGGCTTCCCGAGAAATTATGCAATTGGATCACCAGCTTTCTTGCAGATCGGAGCATCAAGGTCGTTGTAGACGGTGCATGCTCCGACTACAAGCCTATTAACGCTGGTGTTCCACAAGGCTGCGTGCTATCACCAACGCTGTTTCTTCTGCATATCAATGATATGTTGCAAACCGGTAGCATTCATTGCTATGCGGATGACAGCACTGGTGATGCTCTATACACCGGCCGTGCCAATATTTCTCGGGAAAACGTCACTGAGTACCGGAACAAACTTGTGTCTGAAGTCGAGTCTTTGCTGGACAAAGTCTCGGATTGGGGGCGACTAAATCTAGTCCAGTTTAATCCTCAGAAGACACAAGTTTGCGCGTTTACCGCTAAAAAGAACCCCTTTGTCGTATCTCCTCAGTTTCAAGGTACTCCCCTTGTTGCCTCAGCCAGTATCGGAATCCTCGGCGTCGACATATCGAGTAGCGTGCAGTTTCGTGGTCACTTGGAAGAGAAGGCCAAATTGGCCTCTAAAAAGCTTGGCGTGCTCAGTAGAGCGGGACAGTATTTCATGCCGGCTCAACGCCTGCAACTTTACAAGGCGCAGGTTCGGCCTCACATGGAATACTGTTCCCATCTCTGGGCTGGGGCTCCCCAGTGCCAGCTTCTTCCACTTGACCGCATCCAGCGCAGAGCGGCTCGAATCGTCGACGACCGAGTTCTTTCCGATCGGCTCGACTCATTGGCACTGCGAAGAGATGTTGCATCTCTTAGCATTTTCTTTCGCATTTACCATGGGGAGTGCTCTGAGGAATTGTTTGGATTAATCCCAGCCGCCAAATTTCACGAACGCACATCGCGGCAGAACTCCCGATACCATCTACACCATCTGGATGATTGGCGGTCCACCACTGTGCGATTTAGAAGATGTTTTCTTCCTCGCACAACTTCCTTGTGGAATAGTTTACCACCAGCGATTTTTCCGGACCGATACGACTTAGGGACCTTCAAGAAAAGAGCCTACTCCTTTTTAAAAGGCCGGCAACGCATCTGCAATTCCCCTGGTGTTGCGGTTGTTCATGGGCGGCGGTAGTCACTTACCATCAGGTGAGCCGCATGCTCGTTTGCCCCCTCTCCTATAAAAAAAAAATCTTGATATTTTATTCAATATCCTCAGATGACAGTAATGGTATCATTGAAGTTGAGACTACGTGGTTATTATTCATTTATGAAGGGGAGAGGGGGATAAATTCATCACTAAAATTGGTAAAAAATTACGTCTTGATATTTTATTCATGTATCCTCAGATGACAGTAAAGGTTACTGCGAGCTTGACGGTAGCATCGCGCGACATTCAGCATGTGCCTGTGAAGTTGCGTCAATGTCTCTTCTACGACGAATCCTCTTACTTACCATTCTACACACACAGTGACTGCATGCTTAAATGTCGGATGTCCTTCTTATTGGCAAATTGTAATTGCACACCTTTTAATATGCCTAAAATGTTAAACACGAGGACTTGCGATTTGAGAGACATACCATGCCTCAGAAAATATAATGGTAAGGACTTCGGCACACTTTACACGCTCACACACAAGCGTTACGTAGAGGAACTATACTATCGTCAAAAGCTATTTGCCATGCCTTAGATCATGATTTAACCAAGATTCAACATAATCAAAAAGTAACGGTTCGAACGGGGAAAGACCATGTATTCATAGAATAGGTATAAGCGTGATCCGAGTAGCATCTTGCTGACAAGAATGCAATATTAAAAAAAAAACTATTGGTGACAACCCGCCAAGCGTGGTAATTACCTCCTATGCGGCAATCTATGGGTAAGGCCTGTGTTTAAACATGTGAAAGAAAAAATAAAATTTCTCACAAATTAAAAAAAAGTAGGCGAACAGTGGATTAAATAGAACAAAATTTATAAGTTTGGGGAGTTTTTTTGAATAAAACTTGCTAAGGACGGCCCTAACATTACGACATCAGCTAATGTCGTAATGTTAGGGTTGTCGTAATGTTAAATTAAGTAAACGTTGATGACAAAAACTACTTCTGAAGTGAATGAAACCCATGTGAATCCTATTCCCGTTTCTACAATGAGGGCGCAGTTTCATAAAATTGATCTTTATTGAAGGATAGTGGCCAGTAAACCCATGTAATCAAGTACATGTGTCGATCCTAATCACAAAAATAAAAAGAAGAGGTTGGACCATTTAACATAGGCAAAAAGTTCTCTGATTGAGTCGAAATTCGAAGTATTCCGTTCTTAAGGAATTGTTAAGTGCCATTAGTTAAGGACGGAGGAGGCTCTGTCATGACTCATGACTAAGGGCTAGGTTGGTGTTTCTTCTATGGATAATGGCGTCAAGATTGAAGAAATTTTGAAATAAAAAGACTACCACAAAATCTTAAAACAATGTTTTATCTAATGAAGAGCTATTATTCGGGAAGAGATTCCCTTTTCAGTATGACAATGACCTGAAACAGTTTCCTCCAGAATTTTTATCTGACGTCGAGTGCGAAAACAATGTCCCACACATCAACAACTTGTAACTTGAAAATTGATTGTTGATGAATTGAAAATTTGTAACAAAGACTCCCGAGGTTATGTAAAGAAGTGATTCTAAAATAATGATTATAAATATATATGGTCATAATTATATATTGATGGTCATAATTATAGATGAATCAAAAATTTAAAAATTATCTCATGAAGATTATATTTCTCTATATATCATGAGTGTGAAACCTGAAACCGTCAACGTAGGCAAATATTTTCTGACGAGCACGCTGCAGTTTTATATTGCATAATAACTCTAGTAAAACGGCATAGTTTAATGATGCACCGATGAATGGCCATGCTCTTATAGAATGCTACCGTAAAATATCAACTTAGAACTTTTGTGTTTTCTCCATTTTACGAAGCATTACCATCTTAGTATTTTAACAATTTAAATTGAATTACATACAAATTAAGATATGTAAAAAAGACGGGGTCTTGTACGAAAATGATAAATCCGCACTATTTGGAAAATATTGTTTCTCAAATAGCTACAGCTGTTCTCAGCAGAGCTTTAAAAATTCCCGAATTTGATAATACAAAGTAAGGATAACAAGAAAGGACTTAAAATATAAAGGTCCTTTATTAATATGTCAAAACTGCAATAAAGTCTTTATGGTAAATTGATTACCATACTAGTAAAATCTTCTGATTTTGAAACTTGACAGTTCAAACTTCAAACTATTTACTTAAAAGGAAAAAGACAGATTTTCGATTCGATTTGAAACGAGCACAATATAATCGATTCTCGATTAAAATTGAGCATTTTAATATCTATTTTCGATTATTTTTCTGTGTTAAGGAGATAAAAAATAATTGCGTACATATCTACAAAGTAATAATGAAAAATACAAAATATTAACATTACAACAAGTAACAGTTACAACAACAATTAAAGTAATCGATCACAGACCAATATCCCTAATATTCACTTCACTTAGTTGTTGTTGTTTTAACTTTCGTTAATCGTTTCACCATTTCGTTTCATTATTAACCACAGCTTTTTTTGATGATTTTATACTGATTCTGCATTTATATCTTCGAAAAATCACCTGTTATAGTGTAGGTAATAGATAATCACACTTTTACTTATTCTACAATAACTCAGCTCCTAGATTGACAAATCTTGCCAGATTTTCAGCTATGAATTGTTTATATATATACGCTTTCAAATGGTCCTACTTTCATCTTGTTAACACTTGGGCCCAAGAATGTATGGAGACGTCTCCTTCTCCTTTCATAAGGCGAGCAACTCGAGTTTGTTCGATCCTGCCAATGCCACTAAACTGGGAATCGTTTCAGCGAATATTCGCATGACTAATACTTTTTTCTGAATTTTAGCACAGTCAATCACTGTTCGACCAAATATAGATCAAATACCTGTAGAGTTGGAGATGAATATTGTAGACGGAGGCATCAACTGTCCTATGTGCTATCCAACTTGTTCTAAAACTACTTACTATTACGATTTTAACAATGTTAAAATTTATGCGGACTATCTTAACGCTGTTCAGGATACAGACAGAGTTGAATGGCTGTAAGTACAAATAATTAGCGTAAAATTTTCACTTTTATAATTTTTAATATGGCAATAAATAATGTATATTATTATTATGTAAATAAATTATCTGGACATTTCGAATAACAGCATACAATTAAAAATATGCTTGTAATAAATAAATAGATTATTATTGTAGGAAATAAATAATTATAGCAAACGTGATATAAATTAACGACATATCTTAAAAGTTTGAAAAGCACAAGTGTTTATTGGGCCTTCGTTCTTGAAAGTAACGTATTCAATCTTCGATTTGGGGCTTCCTACTTCCTGAAGCCAAACCTTCATTTCTTTTATTGCATTAGTAGAACCTTGTAACTGACCGACGACTGTTCCTTGAGCTGTGTTCATTACCCAACCTTTAAGACCCAGCTCTGAAGCTTTCCTTTGGGTATGTTTTCTAAAAAATACGCCTTGAACTTTCCCAAATACCTCATAGTCTACTATAAATAATCTTGATTTATTTGATTCATTGTCCATTGTATTGTATATACTAATTAAACATTAAATAATTAAATTGCGAAAATTTTCAGTTCTTGCCAAAATACTGACATTGTTTGCGTCATCATTTAGTAAACAAGTGAAAGCGCTAAGTAAACGTAGTGATTATATTCTCTTTGGCTAAAAGTACTTAGTGTATTATCCTTTGTCGCTATGCAACCAGTCAGTAACTACGTGCCTCAGATCAATATAAAAAATTGTAGAATATGTAATCTGTATACGTTCATGGTATATGTAGTTAATTTTGTTTTAGTATATTATAATATAGTTGATATGAAATTACCATAATTACATTTTGCTTTTTATTACCTAAAATAAATTAAATTTACGCGAATGTATCATAACAGAACAGATGTAGTAGATGTAGCAGTACAAAAGATGCGAGGTATCTGTGATCGTTTTATTCCGCCTGCCAGAGGTTGCGGTTTTGCCAAACAGTTCATACTGTGGAAGTGGCGCACGATATACCTACTTTAACTAAATATCCTGGAAGTTCAGTGTCTTTCATTCATAAGTTCATGAAGGAACTGCGGCCAGCTTTTTTTACTACCCCGCGAAGTACAGTTACATTATAGCTATTATCTATTATCCAGCAAAAAACGTGTTTTTTAAGAAATATATTGAATGACATGCCATCAATGCCACGGCCAACTTACGAAACAGTAACAAAGTCCGTATATATTTTCTAATTTATATGTTTCGTGGTCTAACCCTACTAATATTAACTCTGTAAAACAATAGATACGCAGCATCAAACGTTAAACTGTGTCGCACTACTTATCCATTCACATTACAACAGTAGTCGAGGCTTGTGAAACTAAACTTGCTTTGAATAGGCCTGTGGAGCGAGTTATTATTTCAAACTGTAAGTTAGAATGTATTTGTTGCAGACGAGGCGCAAATTTCACCGGAACCTCCATTGTGCATGTGAAATACGGGAAAGAAATAGCAGACCGTTACGGACAAAATGTTATAATGAAATGGTTCGACTTGATCAGTAAGTGCTTTTACGCGACTGCCCCAGAAGGAGGGTAATTTTTTCGAGTGTACTTATGTATGTATGTATGTCTATTTCTTTTTTGTTTTGTGTAAACGACTTAATGAATTTTAACATATGTGGTGTTGTTAGATTTGTCTTACTTGTAGAAGTGACATGGGATATTTCTTTTCAGTAAACTTTTTACGCAGTCGAGGTTTAACTACTGTTTTAACCTTTAAACTTGTTATCATTTATAAAACCAATGTTGAATTAAGAAATAAACATAATAATAAAATTATTAAAAATTATTTGTATGTGAGCATTTAAGCGCCTTATTTTAATTATATTGGCAACTTCTATTTACCTTGTATTTCTAAGTTATATGATTCGCACATACGATAATTAGTATCTATTGCATAAAACGTCCATAAATTATAGATATGTATATACTTATTTTTTTAACTAAGCGTACACTCTAAGAGGCAAATAATATTTTTTATTTTTATCATAATAAATTATGTTTCGAATCTTATACAAAAAAAAACCCTTAAAATTTTAGTTATATACGTCCGTCTTCCACACTTGGAAGATATAATATTTCCACATAAAAAGCATAGTCCTCAGCTCCTGAGCACCAGGTGTAACGTGCGGTAGGTAAATTATGGGCCTTATTGCTAATTTCGCTACTCAATTTTAAGATGTCGTTAAGTCTCGTGGTGTTTCAGTCACTTTGACTTAAAGTGATAGAGACAACATGAGACTTAACGGCTTGTTCAAATTGAGCAGCGTTTAAGTGTTTGAGCACTAAGCCGAAAGTTCACCGCAAACTAAACTAAATTATTATAGTTTAGTTTGCGGTGGACGTTCGGATAACTTAGGATACTTTGTAGTTTTCCATAAAATTTAGATAAAAATTTCTATAAGGTCGCAATTGCAAGATTTATTACTTTCTTTTTATGCAAAAAATTTTTTCGACAAGAAAGTTGTTTTATTTATGATTAATGTAACTACATTTTTGTTAAGTTTAAAAAAATAGCTTTTACTAATCCTAGTTTCAATTCAAATAGAAAAAAACAGATGACGGTGTTTTGAGCAAGGTGACTCAAAAGACTTTATTTACTAAACTGAATGTCTGATACTTACACGACGATACACTGGGAGATAGAACAGATGACATCCTCAAGGATTTTGCTCATATTTTTGAAATTGTAAAAAATATAAGTATTGAACTGAATGGTACTAAAATTAATTAGGTATTTATTTGGAACAATTTACTGATTCTGATCTAGTATAACGTAGTTCAATTCAAAATTTCAATTATATTTCTCCAGGAACAAAAATAGTCAGTAGCGTCAAATTTGCGTTTTCGTTGAATTAAATTTATATAATTATATAAATTTAAATTGTATGAAATCATTGAGTTATATGTACTATGTACTAGAGAAGCCATTCCGAAGATTGACTATGTTCAACTGAACTGTAGTGCAATCCATACAAACTAAATATTGCGTAAATTGAATATTTGTGAATTCCATCAAATAATTATTATTACATTGTATTTAGAAATATGTTTGTTTAGATTAAATTAAGATATTTTATATTAAATTCTTATATTTATTTTATATTAATATCTTATTTTATATTAAATTAAAGTCTTCGCGCATGCGCGACTACTACTCCCGCGCATGCGCGAAGACATAGAGTAGGACACAATTTTTGTTTGAAATGGCTTCTCTATTCTCTAGCACGTAGTACATATAACTCAATGTATAAAATTAAAAATAAAATATATAATATTAATATTAAAGTTATTATTAAAACTATTATAGGAAAAAATTTGATCAGTTATTAAACCATTTCGATAAGACATTTGACTGATTTCCAAACACTGTACTTACTATTTTGAAATATTGTCTTGCATCTAGATGTAGATTGACATACTACTCCGCTGGAGTCTACTCTGAAAAAGTGACAATATTTTAAAATGAAAGCTACAATATTTTAAATTATATTAATCTCAAAATAGTTATAAAAACATATATACTAGCGGACCAGGCAGACGTTGTTCTGCCCTTTTCGACGTCCCTTCATATAAAAATCCTTAAATTCGTAGTAAAAAAATATTGAGTGTCACTTATCAGGATAAGAACTATCCTATCTCTCAAGTTGGACCAAACTGCACAGAGAGTGCAAATTTAATTAAAATTAGTTCAGTAGTTTAGGAGTTCATCGCGGACAAACAATGTGATACGTAATTTTTATATACATACATACATATACACTCACGCCTGTCACCCAGAGGGGTAGGCAGAGACTACGGACTTCCATTTGGCGCGATCCTGACACACCTCTCTCGCCTCTTTTACATCCATATATCTACGCATACACGCTCTTCGGTTAAGGGTACTCCTAATCTGGCCCATTTTTAATGTATCGCCTATTTGGTCGATAAACCTTCGTCTAGGGCGTCCCTTCCCGACCCTGCCGTTCACTTCTGCAACATAAATTTGCCTTGTCACTCTTTCCTCGTTCATTCTTTCTATATGACCAAACCACCGAAGCATTCCTTTCTTAATCCTTGTCACAACGTCATCTTGCAAACCACACTTTTCTCACTCTGTCATTCAGATTCAGCTCTAGCATACTCCTTAAGGAACGCATTTCTACAGCATTTATTCTACTCTCATGCTTCTTCTGCCAGACCCAACTTTCACTACCATACATTAAAGTAGGGACTAACACAGGATTATGAATTGCCATACGTGCCTTAGTTGACACATTCACAAGATATATAAGATATAATAATAATAATATTTAAATGCAGCAGCCTGGACTCAAATTTGGAGGTATCGGAGTAAAAAATCTTTCTAGTATTGAATTGCTTACCTTCCTTGTTTCTCTGCATATAGTCAATAATTTCTGTGGGTAATAAAACTATAAATAATTATGTAGCTTTGTTGCGGAATGAAGGCGGATATGGCAAACATTCTGTGTCAGCTAACCAATACTTATGCAAATAACCAAATTTCTAACCAACAGAAACAGGGGCATATTCCATTGATACGGAGTGTGCAGAAATATTTATTTCATAATCTCCATAATGTCCAAGATCAGGCATGCCTTCTATCTGTTTCGACTAAGGAATGTAGTAACAAGTTGCATTATTTGCTTTCAAGTAATATCGGCATATTACTTGATCTGGAAAGCTTGCTCTTCTCGCATATTCTATGAGCGGCAATCTGACAACCTCAACGATGTCTTTGTGGTAGCAGCATCAAGTTTGGCCTCCACAGATATTTATGTAAGAATAGTGATGTTATGTTCTCCCTTCACGGATCTCTAAACGACATTATCCGAAGGACTCTAGTCTCAAGAACGTAGGGAACATTCATTCCCTTAGTTTTAAAACATTGTGGAATATTTAGGGACGGTGGCATAAGACCCGATGGTACGACTTTCCCCTGGGAGAGAGGGAGAGCCACAGTGTGGGAGGTTACATGTGCTGACACTTTGGCAGCTTCTCCTTTCTGGGGTAACTACCCTGTTTAGAGCCGGGACTGTATTAGAGGTGACTGAACTAAGTGGCGCAAATATTATGTGTCTTAGAGAGATGACTTAAAATTTGTGCAATTTACCGTAGAATCAATGTAAATGTTGGTAGAAGAGATTTTTGAAATCCGTAGGCGTTTTAAATATAATTTTAGTAAAATAAAGATGATACCCAGAAGGACTTCTACCTAAAAATTACCAGCAACTAAATGGCTCGGTAGCGCAATTCTGGTTGGAACGAAACACCAATTCGCGTGATCCACTAATTAACGGTGAATTGGTGAAGTATCTAAAGGTACAAAAGTAGTATATCGGCTACTGGTAGTCGTAACGTTTGAAAGAACTATTATTTAAGATGGCTTCTGTACCAGTAGTACAGCGAAACCTTATCTTACGCATGTCGATAAAAATCTTATTTCTAAATTTTAGGTTTTTAAAAGTATTTTATTGGTATATTCTATCGACATAGAAGTTAATAGTATTTTCACAAAATTGAGTAAAAGGAGTATTACATTCTTTCTCCAATTTTTAAAGCTATCGTAATTTCTAATGACTCAATACTACCGACAATTTTATCAAAAAAATAAAAAAAATAAACTGACAATAATGCTTTAAGACTGAATACTTTACGCCATAACGATATTGTTAAATTTTACTTTTTTTTTACAGGTAACATCGGTTCGACCTGTGGGTTTGTCACGGGCTTCAGTTTTGTATCAGCATTAGAGTTCATATATTTTTTCACTGTGAAATTATGGCGGGAAATAAAAATGCGTCGTGCACAAGAAAAGCGCGTAGGAGACGTTAGCATGTTGGGATCTCCGCAGAATAATTCGGTTCGAAATTATCACTCACTTTATTGGAATGAGTTGGTCGGGTGGAGACAAAATATAAATATGTTAACGAAACAAGAACAGTAGAAACATATTTAATACAAGCGACTCGCCCGGCTTCGCCTGGTTAGGATCTATTTAACGTGGCGTTATTTAGATTTAAGATAATTAAGAACTATTTATTTTTCGGAAAATTAATAAAACCAAGCATTATTTTGCGGAAATCCATTTCATTAAACATGTTAAAAAATTTATATCTTAGCTAATAAGATCCGCGTAACAAAATAAAATCATGTGTCTTGTCTTATACCGTGGTAAGACACATCATTTCATTTAACATATTCAATATTAATTCTTCCTTTTTTGAAAGTGTTCCAGATTTTGGGATAAAAAATAGCCTACACCCTAGATCACTCCTGGTTGCATTCTGTTCGTAGAGTTTAACTACAATCGGTTTAGATATTCGATAGTTTAGACATACATACAGTCAGACAAACATTTTAATAATGGTTATTTACGTTTTAACTACATGTAATTAACCCCCTGAGCTTAATAGAAGCAAGTTATTTCAATATTACACACAAACACTTCCATTTAGTTTATATGTATAAATTCTTTTCTACAAATATAACAAAAGAATATTCATATAATTACTCGTAATATTAATGTTATCATAGTTGAAATCAATAAATCAATGTCATTGTATAATAATAAATTGTAATGCCATTGTATTCTAAACAACAACAATGAAAACAGGTGCTAATTTCCCACGTTTTTTCCAGCGATTAGAATCACTATTTGGTGAAGATACAAAATATTTGGGGTAACTCATTAATAATTCCGATGTAATTGTAGGAATAATAAAACGATAATAATGTTACGTAGAATTATTGAAATAAAATAATTTATATATATTTGACTTTTCATTTTTTAGTTTGAGTCTGTAGATCGACAAGTAGAGAGAGTAGACGTATAATTCATCATCATCAGTGTTGTGAAATGAAATCTAAGGCTTGTAAAAACTACCTCGAAATATGGTGGAATGGTATTAAAAGTTTACCTGAGACTACGTCTATACATGGTTTTAGATTTATTGGTGATCGTAACAGGCACTGGACTGAAAGGTATTAAAAGAACTTTCAACGAGCTCGTTGTATTTTTGATTTCTATATTGCCTGTATTACTAAATTGAGTTTTGCGCTGTAATTTAATAGCGATAGTTTACAGGCTTCATATTTCTCATATCTCTCTCTCTCTCTCTTTGTGTGTATTATTTTAATTCCACTTCTGGAAAATGATAATTCTAAGAATAAGCCAACTGTTGTAGTTGTTCATAGGCAACGGTCAACACGTACCACCAGATGGATCGCATGCTCGTTTGCTCACTCTTCGATTAATAAAAAAACTTAAAAGTTGGTTATATCTTAATTTCCTTAATAACCTTCAGTTGTGTATTCAATTCGAGATAAAACGCCTGAGTAGCTTGGTGCCAGATTATTTCACTGGGTTCGTTTCCCAGCGTAAATCTAAATTTAATTAATTTAAATGGTTTTGTCATTCTAGATAGATTTCTGCATGACTGCCTGCTAGCCTATATATAATTTTTTATTTTTTTATGTTCGTTAAACTAGATGACTTATAACGACAATATAATAATTTGGTAATTTTAGTAATTTTAGAAGGTTCATAACTTTTTTAATAATAAAATGGAAAAAATTAGTGATAGCAGTATTAGATGTAGATTATATATTAAAAAATATCTCTTTAGTATTATTTTCCATGGAGAAAATAAAGAATTATACGTTTGTATAAACTAAAGGTCGCCTAGTAAATAAACTATTATACCTACACAATTATAATTTCCGAGTCTGTGTTATTCAATATAGCATCCAGACCACTATAGCTATTTGTTTTCTTAGTTCACTTATAATTTCTTATTTTTAAGTGGCACGGTGTTTGTTTGCCTTAAGGATAATCCGCCACTACAGTAGCGGATTATCCTTAAGGCAAACTAGGCACGTGCCTAAGGGCACAAGGTTAAAAAGGGGCGCTCGTAGAAGTATTCAAATGAAAAAATAATCGTTTATTTGATTCATCCTACTTCGCCTCACTCTGTCACCACACTTTTCATTCACGCCATAATTATTTTGCAACTATAAACTAATATATATATATTATAAATTATAATATAGCTTATTTGCAAAATGGTTAGTTATAATTTATAATATATGGCCGCTAAAGGGCCCCGATATGATGCTAGGCTAGGGCGCTGTCGATATAATTTATTCGCCATATAACTGTGCCGTGTAGTGACGGTTAAGAATATCCACTACCCCATATCTTCCCGTGGGTGTCGTAAAAGGCGACAAAGGGAAACAGGCAGGAGATGTGCAGCAGCATCTTCCTGATAACATCAAAAATACAATAAAAAAACTGCGGTTGACAACCCGCTCGCCAAGCGTGGCGACTATGGCAAATACCCCCCAAATGGATAAAGTTACAAAGAGACGGCCCCCAGTCCCCGGCGGCCCCGCTATTCCTGGCTACGGTAGCGATCATGGTAACGACGGGGCAGGGGGTGCTAAGAATCTCTGTTGGAGGTTCGGTTGCCACTTACGACCACTCGACCTGGCAACATACAACGTACGCACCCTGAAGACTGACGAGAAGATTGTGGAGCTGGAAGAAGAGATAGACAAGCTACGTTGGCATATTATAGGATTATCCGAAGTCCGAAGAGAGGGGGAGGAAACGGTAATGCTCGAATCCGGCAACTTGCTCTATCACCGGGAGGGCGATCATCTGCCCCAAGGAGGTGTCGGATTTATCGTCCACAAGTCTCTCGTTAACAACGTTGTAAAGATTGAGAGTGTGTCGACGAGGGTTGCGTACCTTATACTCAGAATCACCAAACGGTATTCGCTGAAGGTCATACAGGTTTACGCACCAACCTCGGCACACCCCGATGAGGAGGTGGAGGAAATGTATGAGGATATCTCTAGAGCCATGCATCCCTCCAAAACCCAATATACGGTGTTAATGGGATACTTCAATGCAAAACTAGGCACAAGAGAGAATGGTGAGCTGAAAGTAGGTAAATTTGGAATAGGGCAACGGAACCCAAGGGGCCAGCAGCTGGCCGACTTCATGGAGAAAGAGGGAATCTTTATGATGAACTCTTTCTTCCAGAAGCGGCCCCACAGGAAGTGGACTTGGTCGAGCCCCGACGGTTCGACAAAAATGAGATTGACTTCATTATGACGACCAGACGACAACTGTGCAGTGATGTCTCAGCGACCTCTAGCGAATGGTTAGAGGCACACTGAACCTAAACGTTAAGTTGGAAAGGTCTCGTCTAATGAAGTCAACGCTCCGTCCGCCTCGTGCTCTAATCCAAAGTCCCGAAACCTTTCAGCTCGAGTTACAAAACCGTTTTCAGTGCCTAGAAGACTGCAATGAAGTGGACGATATGAATGACAAGCTCGTGAAAACTGTCCATGCGGTCGGAGCTAAGTTCTGCAAGACCCGCCGCAGAAGAACACAAAAACTCTCCGATCACATTTTATTATTAGACGGGAGATGAAGCTACATTCTTCAACAGATTTGACAGGATACAGGCAACTGAACAGACAGATCTCCAAATGCATGCGGCGGGACTTACGCAACTTCAATACAGCTCGTATTGAAGAAGCGATCGTGCGGAACCAAGGCTCCAAAGTCTTTGCCAGAGATCTGTCTGCCAGAATGAGCCAACTGTCAAAGCTGAAGACCGAGTGTGGCAGCATCGTTTCCGGGGCACCTGAGATTTTGAGTGAGATTGAGAGGTTCTATGGGCAGCTGTAACCTCATCGTTGGAGCCACACGCGAGTGTGAGTAACGATCCAACAGCGAGTCTTATCCGACATTATTCCGATGATATCCCGGACGTCAGTCTGAGCGAGATTAGAATGGCTCTCTAGCACCTTAAAAACGGCAAGGCCCCAGGCGAGGATACAATTACAGCGGAGCTTCTGAAAGCGGGTGGAAAAACGGTACTGGAAGTTCTTCAGAGGCTCTTTAATTCCGTCCTCCGTGGTGGCATTACACCGGAGGCGTGGAGCACAAGTGCGGTGGTCTTATTCTTCAAGAAAGGTGACAATGCTCTCTTGAAGAACTACAGACCGATTTCCCTTCTGAGCCGCGTCTACGTGCTGTTTTCGAGAGTCATTACGAATCGTCTCGCGCGCAGACTTGACGACTTCCAGCCTCCCGAACAAACCGGTTCCCGAAAAGGCTTTAGCACCATAGATCACATACATACCCTTCTGCAAATTGTACAGAAGTCAGAGGAGTACAATTTGCCACTATGTCTGGCGTATGTGGACTATGAGAAAGCCTTTGATTCCGTCGAAATTTGGGCGGTGCTGCAGTACCTTCAGCGGTGCCAAGTGGACTGTCGGTATATCGAAATGCTGAAGTGCTTGTACAGTAGAGCTACGATGGCTATCCGAGTACAGAACCAGAGTACGAAAACCAGAGAACCTATCCAATTGCAGAGAGGTTTAAGACAGGGTGACGTCATATCCCCGAAACTCTTCACCGCTGCATTGGAAGACGTTTTCAAGCTTCTGGACTGGGAAGGATACGGAATCAACATCAATGGCGAGTACATCACTCACCTTCGATTTGCCGACGATATAGTCCTTATGGCAGAATCGCTGGAGGACCTAAGCACTATGCTCAATGATCTCAATAGTGCTTCCCAACGGATAGGTCTTAAGATGAACATGGACAAAACAAAGATCATGTTTAATGTCCATGTCACACCTATGCCGGTAGTTGTTGGGAGCACTAAGCTCGAAGTTGTTGACGGGTATGTTTACCTGGGACAAATAGTCCGACTAGGTAAGTTCAACTTCGACTGAGAGGTCAATTGACGGATTCAACTCGGTTGGGCAGCGTTCGGGAAATTACGGCACATCTTCTCGTCAGGTATACCTAAAAACTTGAAAACGAGACTGTACAACCAGTGCGTGTTGCCAATGATGACATACGGAACTGAGACGTGGTCCTTCACTGCTGGCCGGATGAGGAAGCTCAAGGTCGAT